TCTACCATAGAGCTGCATCCCGCCTCCTTTTGCAGCGAGATGGCAAAGCTCATGGCGTCGCCTCCCATGCATGATGTCGCCATCAATACCCTGTCCCTGTACGGAATTCGCTGTCCATACACATAAGTTTCAATTGTCGCCGCCCAGTGCAACACACTTTCTTCTTTCTTTCCATTGTAGGTCCACGACAGCTTAAGCTTTATCTTGTTAACTTGCCCGGTCTCCTGAGGAAGTTTTTCCTTTGGATCCCCAATCTTCCTCTTTCCTTTCTTATCATCATCGTCGTCGCCATCCCCATCTCCTATGTCGCCTCCAGCGCCCTTTACAATCTTCTCTACGACCTCCGGTGTGAAGACTTTATTAATATGTTCGTCAAAAGCCTGGATGTAAGTTTGCACATGTTGGTCAACGTCCTTTGCTGACTTTTCTACGAAGTTATTCCAGACATTCTCAAATTCAACCCTATGTGTTTCTACACGTTGCAAGGTCTGCCGCATTAAGTCCATGTCTTGCCTCGTGTGGAGGACGGCCTCCCTGAGGAGTGCAAGTTGTGCTTCAGTTGCAGAGGGGTTTTCCTTTTGCGCTTCTAGAGCTTTCTGCAATTTATCCCCTTCTGCCTGCAATCTTTTCTTGTCTTCCACCTCTTGCCGTCTAGCGGCCAACAACCTGCGATTTAGCTTAGCCCGTTTCTCCTCCAACATCAGGTTTCGTTCAACAGTGTCTTTAATAGTGGCCAACTTGGCGATGAACGTATCCCGTTCTTCATCAGATTCTTTTAACGGCTCGCTGGAGTAGTAGTACCGGCTGCCCCAGTCCAGCGGTTCAACGGGAAGGCGGGTCGTTGTGCTGCTTTCAGGTATGTCTTGGCGACGACGTCTTTCAAAAACTTCTCCTTCTTCCTGTTCTTCTTCTTCTTCTTCTTCTTCTTCTTCTTCTATACTCTTCAACTCTTCTTCCAACTCTCTGTCCATCTTCTCTTTCATCTTTTTCTTGACTTCTTCTTCTTTCTATTTTTTCTTGGCTTCCTTTTCCTTTTTCTTTTCTGCCAGCCTGCGGTCTATTTCTGCTTGCTCCGCAGGTGTGGGGCCAGACTTCACTATCCCTGACCGCATCAGCATGCGGGACGTGCACACACGTCCGAACCCCAGTGGGAACATAAGCCGGAACAGCGGCCCCAACAAGACAGAAAGGGCCAACAGGCCCTGAATGGGATAGTCATCCATGATGACTACCGACACAGGGAACCCTCCGCCGGGTCACCAAGGTACTATCCCACTTACAGACTTGGTGGTCTTGACTTGCGGTAATGGAGTACTTATACCTTTCCTTTCCCCTTTTTTTTTTTTTTGCTTAACGGTAGAAGGTGCTGCGTACAATCAACAATAGATCAAACTACAATGAATTTAAATATGTCTATTTTTATTTATTTATTTATTTATTTATTTATGTGCTGTCTGGCCTCCTGGACCGAACGTTTGGTAATGTGTTCCTGTTGTCTTGCTTTCTCTCTTTTTTTTTTGTACTAACTTGGCTGGTTGCTTGGTACAGATATGGAGTACAGCGCAGATTCAGATGGTTCACTTATCCAACCAGGCAGAGATACTTCGTATACCCTATTCTTTCTTTCGGGCTTGACAGGCCCTGCAGATGCTCAATATAATCCTTATGCTGCCTGGTGCATGCCATCTGACGTGGCTCATAGCCCTTCCCACATCGATCCTTGGTTCTTAATGATGATACCCAGCCTGCCTATCAAGAGGGATAGGAGAGAGACCTACTCCTATTCGCAGGACACTGGACCACCTACTCTAGTGTGACCAGTTCCTGACACATCACACTTGGGTCATCAGACCCTGACGGCTCAGACCTGACATCTATGCCAGCCCAGATCCAGACTTTGACTCCTGACCAGATTTGACTCCTGACCAGATCAGCAGCAGTCACCTTCAGAGGGTCAGAGAGAGAGAAGGTAGGGGACACACACATGCATGCAGGTTCAGGGAGAGGAGGTGCTTCTCTCTTCTTGAAGATACCGCCGATGGTGCTCCACGACRCTCCGCACGCTCCAGGTAAGTAGAYTTYGCCACTTCTYCTTCGGCCTGCTTCCCCCACTATCAAACCCTTCTTCTCTTCCTCCCTCCTTCACTCTTCCTCCATCACCACTTCTTCTCGCCGGCCTTGATCAGACCAGCGCTATGAGTGTAGCGAGCATCTGCTCCGATACCAAAAATTTTTACATGGGTCCTGGGGACCATCTCACGCAGATGTGTACATGTCATGCATCATCTTCACACGCAGTGATCGATAGTCTCAACCATAGAAAAAGGTAGAGAAGAAGAGGACCGAGTTTCACAGCTTATATTATCAGAAATATGATTACAAAGTGTTTCAAAGTTCCCCTGAGTCCAGCGCTCATCAGCGCAACACAAATCTCTGTTCAACTTATCAATGTGACTTCCAAGGCATCAGCGCTACCCCTGCAGATTGTCTCCCAGTCATCAATGTGGTCATAACTCATCGGCGCCACCTCTGCAGTTCACAACCAACTCAGGTAAGTGTCTCCCATAGCCAAACCTTGAATGAACACTCTATATCTCAGTCCTTTCCTCTTACGATGCATACACATTCTCTACTCATGAGGATCTACTCTGAATACTACTCATAGCTACACACTAACCCACTACTACTAATGCTAACT